GATTAAAAAAAGAAGAAAAAACATTGTTATTTTCTTTAATATTTAATAAGTTTAAATAATATTTAATCATTTGGAAAATGTCAAATAGTTTTTGAGATATATGCAAAATCCAAACCCTATTTTTTTTGAGTTAATTGTTTATAACTTTTGCAATTTTTGCATACGGCTCTTGAATTTTTTTCAAAAATCATCCTCACGCTATTCCGAATCGAATGACATCTCGTTTATATTTTTAGGAGGCGGAGAAAATACTTTGATCCAAAAAGCACTTGTTAACTAAACTAATTACCGCTCATCCTGCAAGTGGCTAATGGCCGCTGGATGTTTTAACTAAATAAATAAAAATAAATAAGCATGTATTTGTGGCACATTTGAGCAATTTTGCTAGTTAAATAAAATCTGATAAAATAACAATAAACTTAGAATAGAATGTCGAGTTCGTGGTTTCTAGTTTTATTTATTTTTTAACAAATATAAAAATCGCATAAGATATTGTCAAAAACTTATTCAGTCGATAATAAATTACAGTTGGTTAAATTCTTATTACTAATTAATAAACACGGTGATTTTTCTATCAACCAGTGGTTAGTTAAAATTAAATTATTTTCCTAATTGCCTATTTTGCTATTTAAATTTAAAAATCTCCCTGAAACTACTATCTTTAAGTATAAGGATTGCTTGACTCAAATAAAAGTATAATTAAGGCAATTTTGAATGATGACATAAAATAAAGGGTAGTCAATTTAAAAAATATCAACTTGAAATTTTTAGCAAAAATCAAGTTCTATAAGAGTACAAAGCCTATTGATTTAAAAAACTCTAAATAAAAATGTGGGGGGGTAGGATATTATAATTTAAAATCATGGAACAAGTAATTTTTTTAATTAAAGTTGAAGGTGGTAGCCATGTGTGAGTTATATGTTCAAAAAAGAGGTAAATAAAACAAGGGTGGTCCTTAAGATCTCACAAGAGTAATTTAATACGACCGGTTTCGAGGAGATCAGATCCTCATCATCAGATCCTCATCATCAGGTATGGTCCGTATTACTCATCTATTTAAGACTAAGCTTAGAGATTATCACAGGGTCGGTGTAAAAAACAAGTATGCGAGTATTTTTTAAGAAATGCATAAAAACAGTAGTTGCAACAAAAAGTTAATGTCAAAACACAAGTAGGTCTAAAACTAATAATTAAAATTATTAAAATATTTCACGAACGGACAAACATTAAGACAAAACAAATTTAAAACTTTTTTAAACCCTACAAGAAATAAAATGGGCTCTTAGACAACATGAAGTGTTTATAATTATAAACAGTGCAATAGCTAATGGAAAGAGTCATTACTATTTAGACGAAGCTCTGTCTCTATTAGATATTCCTCATTTAAGTAATAAATTATTCCTAAAATGCCAGGCAGAATCAGGTGAAATCTGGTATAATACCCTAACTACACCAATCTTAGATGCAGGCAAAGAAGAATACAAAATAGCATTAGAGAAAGGTGTAACAATTGATGGGCCCAGCGGAAAAATAGGACTTTGTACAGTGATAGTAGATGGTGGCTGGAGCCACAGATTATATGGACATAAATATACGGAAAAATCTGGAGTGGCTTGCTTTATTGGAAAAGAAACCAAAAAACTTCTTTTCTTAGGCATACGAAACAAGTACTGCAGTATTTGTACCATTGCAGAAAGAAAAAATGCGAGTATTCCAACACATAACTGTTTTAAAAACTGGACCGGCTCCTCACCAGCAATGGAATCAGATATTATTGTATAAGAATTTATGCAAAGCGTAACATTGCATAATTTGCAGTACACAGCTTTCGTAGGCGATGGTGACATACATACGAAAATATTAAAAAACGTGACCTATAGTAGAAAAATAAAAAAAATAGAATGCGCGAATCACATAACTAAGAACGTAACCAAATATGTATTCAATCTTGCCAAAGAATCCTTAATAAATAAGAAATTGCTGTCAAATGTTCGTATTAATTTGATTACCAAAAATTGCCGTAGATTAATTTCAATTCATTCAAATAAATCTAATCCTTCACCACAAAAACTACAGGAATTGTTGCAAAATGTTCCAAATCATGTTTTTGGTAACCATGCTCTCTGTACAAATGAATATTGTTTGAAAGTAGAATAAATCGGCGAGAATATTTTAAACATGGCTGAAAATGTCAACTATAATTGGTACATTAAGTGCAAGAGCCAATACTTTGATTTCTAATTCCACAAGCAATAGAGCAGAACACTTGATGCGTCAAGTTGCAAAGTGGAATAGCGGTAAAACTACCTTTAGGGAAGAAGAAATTCCTTTAATATAAGATGTTATGGTGCAGGTTAAGCATATCAATATGGACCGGATTGGATTTCCAAAGTTTTTAAATCAAAGTTTGTAAAATGTCCTCCAAACAATTTGAAACGCCTAAAAAGTAAAAGAATTGCTATGAAAAGAAAGCAGCAACCTAAGAGACGCCTTAAATTCCAAGAAAAAACATTAAAAATAACCCCGACTATGGACCTTCGTCTTCAAAACTGGATATTCCTGATAAAGAAATTAAAAAAATTAATAGAACAGCAACTATCAATTTTAAGTACAAATTTCAAAGGCCAAAAAGAAATAGAAGAATCTACTCGCAAACAAAGTGATAATCCCAATTGGTTTGAAGCTAGAAAATTTCGATTGACAGCGTCTATATTTGGAAATGTATGCAAAAGAAGATTGAACCATGGGAAATTAGTTCAAGACATTTTATATAAGACGCCACCAAATGTTAAAGCAACAGAATATGGAAAACTTAATGAGTTTATTGACATTGACGCTTACTCAACAAAAAAATAGTGTAGTTAAATGTGGATTTTTATTTGCACCGATGAAGGTTATGGATTTCTTGGTGCCTTCCCAGATGGATTAGTTGGTGCTGATAGGTTAGTTGAAGTAAAATGTCCATATTCCGTGCGATTTCACTCCTTTAGAAGAAGCAAAAAAATAAAAAACTGTTTTTGTAAGGTGGAAGAAGATAAGAACTCTACTGCTTTAAAAAAATTCACAATTATTATCAGGTCAATTATATATATATATATATATATATATATATATATATATATATATATATATATATATATATGCAAAAAACAGTTTTGTGATTTTGTATTATGGACACTTTATTGTGAAGTTATAGAATATGATGAAAATTTCGTAAGTTAGTAGATAGTAGACACGAAAGAAATATGCCACTTAGAAAGGTAGTAGAAATGAACAATAAAACGCTCCCTAGGAAACTTTCTCTTCTACTACTGTTTTATCGCCGTTAAGAATCGAGCCCTTGGAGCGGCACTCTACTCTGCAACTCTCTTCGACTACTTACAATTGAACCGAACATTTACAATTGAACCGAACATCTACGATTGATACTGGAAAAAAGATCGCTAAGACCTCGTCTCTTAGGAATATGTCTCGCTTTAATGTATGAAAGGGGTATAACTCTTTCTTTGTTTAAATTAAGAACTTGATTTGTCACAGTTTTGTTTTGACATTTTAACCCCACTTTATTTTTATGTGGATTGTCGGTTTGTGATTAATCATAATAATTATAAAATAATTATAAACATAAGTGGAAGAGTTCCCAGAACACACCCTTCCCAATGGTCCACTCTCGTGGACTTTATTGAACAGCACCCAGAAATGGTTACTTATAAATTTTAACAAACTGTGGGAAGAGCTAACGACTCTACTAAATAGTATTGGGTTCGGAAGTAAAGATTGAAAAAAATGGCAAGAGGTATGTATAAAATACATACTGTATTTTAATAATTTATACGCAAAAGCAAGCAATGCCAAAAATCCAAGAAATATGCTTGTTTTATTATTATATTTTTGTCATTATTTAATTTTAACTCGCTCTATGTTGTACTTTTTGCCTTTACTTCTTCAAATAGGTATATAATCCTATTTTCTTTTTCAGGTGTTTGGCAAGTGGAAAAGCAAAATTAAAATAAAAGCACAAGAAATTCAATGTGGTATCAAGAAAACGGGGGGGGGGGGGAGGTGGACCATTGCCACAGTTGACCCCCATTGAGGAAAGACTAATGGGTATAATATTCGGGTTGTCAGGCGTCCCGCTTTTTGCCGGATGTCCCGTTTTCAGCACCCTCAGTCCTGCGTCCCGCCGGTAGTCTAAGCGGGACGCATATTGTCCCGCTTTTTAATGAACCTGAAAAAATGCACCGCGAAACGTGATTTGAAGAAATAAAAAAAATAATACCCATCCATCTCATTTCATATTGGTCGAATGGTCTGACGCCCGACAAAAAAAATTGGGGCAATTTACTATTATCTTTACGCCAGCTTCGCCTCGCGGTGCGTGGTCGCAGATGATTCATATCATAAAGTTTTTCGGTCTTGTACATGAGTACGACGAGTACGTACGTGTTTGTTTCTTTCTTGCTTTGGCACTTGATAATTTTCGTATGCTTAATGCATGCGCATGCTTTGTATTTATGGCAGGGCCGTAGCTAGGACGGGGGAGCAGGCCAGGGCTTAGCCCTGGTTAAACTAACTTTGAGGCCTGACCAGGGAGATATTATGTTACTTGAATCTTGAATCTAAAAAAATGTTATGAAGCTATATCAGAAATGGGCAAAACTTGGCTTGAATGATGAATATAAATGTGATATTTATTGCAGCATCAATAATAATAATAGATTGGTGCTCCAATATATGTACCTACATACCGCCAACATTATCTGATTTTACTAGGCTTACGTTACAAACCTTTTTAGGAACGTCTGTTTTGCGCGGGCGCGGGCGGTTCTTGCGAGTAAATCTGACACGTTTGCCATGTGTGCATTTAGTTTTAATGATTGCTTCGCAGTTTTTCATTTATAAATTATTTTGAAGTATAACATTTCGTTTTTTGTCGGCTTTAACAAAAATGGACATTTGAAAATACCTCAAGCGGCCTAGTCCGGTAATGCTAAATTTAAATGAGTCATGCTGAAAATAATTGCATAAATACATCAGAAAATGAAGAACAACAGTCTGGTTCTAGTATTCCTTTAATTCCTAATCCTCTAAAGAAGACAAAAGATACAAACCTTACTGTAGCTGCCCAATCGGACTTGGCACAGATTGGGGAGCCAATTGAACAAATTATCTTAAATACTTATCCAAAACAACCAAATAACCGTTCTTTTCAAGCTTCATGGTTTGGTAAATACAAATGGCTCGAATATTTCAAAGAAAAAGAATCTGCCTTCTGTTACCCTTGTCAGTTTCAACAAAATTTACTTTAACAGGATTCAAGAACTGGAAAAATGCAATGGATGCAAAAACCCACATAAAAGCAATGAAAATGTGGGTAGGAAAAAAGCGCAGAGATGAAAGTGGAACATCGGTTTCTACGATGATAAACAATAACATGTTAGAAAGGCACAGATAGCAGAAATTATCCAGTTTTTAGCTATCAACGAATTAGCATTTCGCGAAACTTATAAATGAAAATTATGAATCCAGCCTGTTTAAAAATTTATTTGAATTTATCCTAAAAAAAGACCAAGTGCTAGCTGAATATATATACAAAAAAAATGCAATATATATACTTGACCAGAAATTTAAAACCAGATCATTTCAATTTTGGCAGACGTAGTGCGAGAACAAGTTGTTTCAGATCTAAAAACTGCTTATGTAAAATGGTTTACGCTGTTAGAAGACGGCACGAGAGACAAAAAAAAACGAGAAACTATTTCAATTGAAATAATATATGTTAAAAGTGGAAAAGTTTTTGAATCTTTTCTAGAAATATACACGACTTAAAAATTAGATACACAGACTTTTACTAAATTAACATTAGATATTTTAAGCAAAAACAAGATTGATCCCGCTCATATTATAAGCCAGCGGCAGGAAAGGTGGAGTTGCAGCTTTAATCGAAAAAAGTGTTGGGCGATGTGTGCCCTATGTTCACTGTTTTAATTATCGTTTGCATCTTGTCGTGAGAGTAGTTACAGAAATTCCAATTCTAAAACATTTTTTTGATCAAGCCATTTTGCTCCATGAATTTTTTGGTCAAGGAAAAGATAGCAGCTATATAAAAAGGAAAAACAATTGGTAGATTACTAGAGCAATGATGGTCTGGACATTTTGCAGTATTTAGGGTTATTTATTCAAACTATTCTGAGATATTAAGAACCCTAGATGAAATTAGAAAAGATAATTCTTTTAAAGGACAAGACGTTGCCAAAAGTAGATGTATAAAGTTAGTTATGTTGGAAATAGACTTTAGATTTTCTTTGGTTTTAATGAAAAACATTCTAGAATTACTTAAACTTGCATATTTTATTTTGCAAGATCGCTTACCGATTTTAAAAGATGCCAACTGCCTGATTTTGTCAGTTAAAAGCAAAATCCAAAATTTACGATCCGATGAAGTTTTAAAAACTTTAGTGAATGAAGCTATGCATCTTTGTTCTGAAGTTAATTCAAACAGAAAATTTAAGACCAAGGAAAGATATTAAAATAAATGGTAGTATGAAAAATTACTTACAGCACCATTACCATCGAGCAGTTCTGGAATTATTTCAAATTTGGACAAAATCAAGTCAGCTTTCTTCGAGACTAAAATATTTTGAAAACATAGGTATACTATAAATGTATTTCTAGTTTAAATTTATTAAAATTATTTTCAATTTCTAGGTATTGAACTACCAAGTGTGGAATAAATAACTTGTTACATGGGAAGCCTTTGAACCAATATTTTTATATTTTATATGAACATAGAGTGGCGTTCCAAAAAACCTACTGTCTCTATGCGGCTGTGGCAATAATAGGCTGCAGTACTGCTGTTAATAAATCTTCATTCTCGACACTAACGGCTATAAATCGACCAGAACGGTATTCCATGGAATATCTGCCATACGTTGCTGATTCATGAATCAGCAACGTATGGCAGATATTTAGCAGTTGAAAGACAACTTAGTCGGGAAATTGATTTTGATTTATTCTTAAGAAAGTTTAACAATTTAAAAAACAAAAGTTTACAACTATTCTAGACGTATGTGAAGCTGGCTGGGAAAAAATCCCGGCTGAGGGGGAAAACGTGGAAATCGGAAGACTTTCGGTAGTCCACGTTTTTCCCACAATTTCGTTTTTCCCCTCAAAAAAAAAAAGTTATTTAATAACAAAGTTTTTATTCACATTTACCATATAAGACTGTAATGGGACTGAGGAAGCCTATTATCGACTGAAAAAAGTTGAAATGAGATTAGAAAAAGCAGAAAAACATTTTACAACCCTCTCAAAAATTTTACAACTCCCAAAGATGGCCCAACTGACTGACTTGCTTTGGCGACACCAAGAATAATTGACGTATATATGACAGCAAAAGAGTCACAATTTAAGGGTTGAAACTAGTTTACCCAAAATATTGAACCCTTGTTGACCAAGATTTTACACGTCCTCAACTTGGCACGAATAAAAAATTACTTCATAAATTTAAAAATATGGAAGACGTGTGGGTTAAATGCTTGGAAACATGGATCAAACAGCCAAGTGCACCCCACTAAATTTTTCCCACACATCATTTCGTTTTCCACCCCTCGAGAGATAGCCGGGATAAAAATAACATATTTTAATATCCCGACCAACTTCACAAATTATAGAAAACCTTAAAATTTCGTTTTTGAATGTTGAAAACGTTTTTTCCATAAAAAGTGCACCCACAAGATTTTTCCCATACAGCAGTTCGTTTTTCCACCCCTTGAAAGATAGCCGGGATGAAAATTACGTATTTTAAAATCCCGGCTGAATTTACAAAGTGGAAAAAATCGTAGGGGTTGGTTTTTCAGGGTTGAAAACGTTTTTCCCTTAAAAAGTGCACCCCACAAGATTTTTACCACACAGCATTTTATTGTTCAAAAATTGATTTTTGCGATGTAATTTACATATTTCAATGCAGAAAAAATCCTGGAATTATTTGGTATTACGCTGCGTTTGACACCGTCATATAACAAGTGGCTATTTACCACTTAAATGAGGGGTCCGACACTCTTAGTCATCAGAGGTATTTTATAGGAAATTTCCTATTTCTAAAACTCGGATTTGAATTTCGAAGGTCATACGGGACAAAACAGACTAATACCTTTACAAATCTATGATAAAATCACTTTCAAAAATGAAACAAAACGGGAATTGGTTTATCGATATGTTTATTTCAGTTTAAAAGAAGGGTAAATGTAGAGTATCTAATTCCCCCAAATATGCTTTTTTCTTAAATTAGTCATCTTGTATCTCGCGCGAACCAGAGTACAATTTGCAATGGAGATTCTGCAGACCCACTCTACGAAATAAAAAAACGCTCGTGGTTATCAAATCAAGCGAACCATGTACAATATATGATAACATATCTTTAGAAGAGGACAAAGTGCTGAAAGGAAGGCAGCACTTTGCACTGGGTTCAAAGGGGCTAATCCGTATTACCTTACCGATTTTGTTACCATTCTGGCGAAGTAAGCGCTACAGTTTCCTTTATGGACAAATGTAATGGGTTCAAAATTTTCAAAAGCAAATCCTGTAGCATCGTCGGCCAGATGCGAGAGTTACTTCAAAGAGTTGAAGGCGTACCTGAGCATTGGCGGATACAGGCCTTTGCGAGCTGATAAACTTATTGGAAAACATCTAAGATGGATAGAAAATTCCACAAAGTTAGAGCGAGCTGCCATTTTGAACAAAGTTGATAAAAACAACAAAAATAAAAAACAACTTAAACGTAAACTGAAAACCACTACTATCAAGATGAAAAAGGCAAGGACGTAGTCAAATTAATGTGTCATCGGAGGACGATTTTGTCCACTTGGAAGAACAATGAAAAGGTAAAAATCGTCCACAAAAAGTTAAGAAAACTGAAACATTTTTTAAGTGTGACTTCTCATTTCAAGACCTTGTTCTTCGTGATGACTCCTTGGACAAAGTCCTTCATTCAACGGCGATTACGGGCGACAAAACTTCTGAGTTCAGCAACCAAATCTACAACGAGATGAAAGAAGAAATCAGCGACGTCAGAACCAGCCAAAGGAACGAAGAACAACACTCTTTTGTATAACATGCGAAAAAGACAAAAACAGACCAGCACACAACAAACAACTGCTAAGAAACCGTGATGGATGAAAATGGACATAAATCAGAGTATACGGAAAATAACGATACAATAGGAGAAGCATTTAACAACGGTGGAGTAATAGCAGAACTGCTGAACAACAGTTATGATGGAAAACAGAACAGTTATAGTGACGAAGTAGAAGAAGTCCAACCAATACCAGGCCAAATGACTATCTCAAAACAGCGGGGTAAGTACTTGCGCCCCTGTCCGGATATCAAAATGATTCATAACCGCAGGATTCGTCGCAATAAAACTGCATTTCTGACAAACGGATTGAAGATGCAAATCAACGGCGTACCCTTGCTTTTCAAATACACCTGCGGTTCGACTCTTTTGTGGAGATAATCGGTAATGCTTATGCTGAAAATGCAGTGTACAGAACTTTCATGGACAACATATCTGAATCCGAATTGATTTCGTTTGTTTTGAATTATGTAAGAAACGGAACTTCGAACAAATTGTACAATAAACGTGCAGAACTCCTGTGCGAAATCTAAACACCAAAATGAAATGTAAAATGTGGAAATAACGCAGGAAACTCCATTAAAAAATTGTGCAAAAATGCTCCTGATTTTGCAACGTTACTGCAAAAAGGAAAATGTAAAGAATGCGGTAGCGAATTCAGTAATCTTTTGAGCTTGGAAATTCCAGGAGAAGTTTGGGCAACAAAATTCACGGATAGACTACAGAAGGTTACTGAAGAATTCTTCGAAATAGATCTAGAATGCATAAAATGTAGGAAGTCACTTGGAGTAAAAAAGAAGCCAGGATCTCATCTAATACTAGATACTAAATTTGCATTCATCGCTCAATTGCAAAAACGTCGATATTCAAAAGCGTCCAATGTCATCTCACTGGATAAAATTTCTTCCTGTCTTAAAATAGCCCAAGAAAAATATGTGTTAAACGGAGTCATGTCATATGAAGCGGGAATACCTCTTGGCCATTACAAAGCATTTTGTCGCAATGTCAACGGCACAATGACTTGTTAAACCTCATTCAATCACAAATTCAAAGACAAAAAATCAGTCCCACAATCATAGTATATTCAGTGATGCTTTCCATGTTCAAACATACAATTTTCTTTATTGCAATATTAATCTTGACAAATAAAAAAGAGATAAATTAAAACAATTTTTTATTTAAAAAATTAAATTAATTTTCAAGATTTGTTACTGGTAATTCAAGACAGGGCATTGAAGAATTCTATCAATGTAGATGATTATTATGAAGAATTTTGTATTGTAAAAAGGTGTTTAATAAAGAACTTAGCGCGTTAGATAAGTGGACATATTTTTAACAAACCTTCGGATTTAAAAAAATATGCTTTCACTATTTTAATTCATTGCGTCTATACCTACTCCCAATGCAGCTTCAGATCGTGCATTTTCTCTCTGCGATAGTACATGGAACGACAATCGTAACAGACTCTTAGTTGATCATGTCAAAGCAGAGCTCCAAATTCTATACAGAAAGTTGTACAGAATTTTACCAGAAGATAATAAAAAATAAAAAACTTTTGGCGGTTAAATCACAGGAATATTAGACTTTCTCAAAAAAGTAGTGTTAGAAATTGTTATTCTATAGTTATATTTTGTGCTGGAAAGTGTTTGTTTTTGTCTGTTTTGTTTTCGGTTTTATTTGTTATTTTTTATGAGTTTTACAAGTAAGAAATAATACTTGTATAAGTCTAAAGTTTTGAATATTGATTATTTATGTTTTGCTGTACCTGTACTTGTTTTTTGCCTTCCTATGTTCCTAAGATTTTGATAATGTTTTATTTTTTTATATGGGTTTTATGCAATGTACTTATAGAAAATTAAAACATGTTCGTTTTTTCTTTTATTAAGTGTCCCGCTTTTTCTAATGTCCTGCTTTTCTAATGCCTAAATCCCGCCAAATGCAAATTCAGACCTTGCAACCCTAACCGGTATAGAATAGAATTTATTCGTCAATAAAGTATTTTTACATTTTTACAATGTTTAAAGAAAACTTATTTAGTCAACTCATACACAGTACGTCCATAGAAAAAACAGAAAAAACAAAAACACCATTCACACTGTCCAATTCATAGAAGTTTAAAATTCTAAAGCTAAGATAATATATAATATACAGAAAACTAACACAAAAGACAGTTAAAATTAACATTAGGTAAAGTATATTTTAAGTTATAAAATTAATATGCTAAAAGTTCATCAACAGAGTAAAAAGCATTATGGCCTGCAAGAAACTGAAACAGCATAAATTTTAATGTTTTAAAGTTTTCTATATTGCCTAAAATTCTAACACAATGGTTAAACAAGATTGCTCCTTGATAATACGGAGAGTTTTGACCCACTGTTAATCTTGAGAAGGGTATACGAAGTTCGCCACCTCTTCGAGTGGGATAAGAATGTATCATATTATTAGTTGTTTGAAGTGAAAGATTTTTTTAATAGATAAATAAACAAGCATGAAAGAGTTAATATTGATAACTTGATTAAATTTTGCCGACAATGTTCCCCAGAAAATCAAGCCATATAAAGTATATTTAAACAGTATAGATGTACAAGTTTATTGAGCAAGTATTCAAAAAATTTTATTTAATAATATTTGCACAAGCATGTTAACCGTACAAGCGACATGCAAAAAATATATTTTTATTACATGTGCATGTCGGACTTGCACAAGTGGAATTGAGAGTGTGTATTTGAAAGACTTGTACAAACTTGAAACAGTTGAGATTTGGTAATTCGTAGAATAGTACGATTTTGGTGCTATAACGAGTCACTTGAAAAAAAGATATCGAAAAGGTTTCGAAAAATTTATTTCTATTTATGAACACAGGCCTTTGCTTGTGACGCTTTAAAAACAAAGAGTACTACGATAGGAGAAAGAGGGAGGCGGCTATAAAAAATTAATTGGGAAATTTAAGAAAATAGACGCCGAAGCAGATCGTGATACAGTGGTTAAAAAAATGAATGCCTTTTAAAAGAATGACAGGAAAGAGAAGAAAAAGTCAACAACAGCCAGCACGTTGTCGTTTGAAGTAGTTACCTAATGTACTGCAAGATTGTTGATTGGGTTTTTAATGTATAAACTCTTCACAGTTTAAAAGATCCCTCTTACACCGAAAGAAATATTTCACTAATATTAGTAAACTAGGTTCCTTTCGCAAATTAAGATATTTTTTTATTAATACAAGATAGTTTATTTTATATTAAAATAATAACAATTTTTGAATGAAAGAATTTAAAAAAATAAAATATTTTTTTTTGTAGGGTTTTACTAGTACTTTAAAAGAACATAGAGTGTCTTCACCTGTAGCTTCATCAAACACGTCGGAATGTTCTAGTTTGTTTAATCGATGTGATAATGAATCAAAAAGCTGCACAATAATGGATATTGTAAAGTGTCATGAAGGAGATATGAATCGTAAATATTATGATACTCATGGCCAACTTAATTGCAGAAAGAGACAAATTTTAACTGACATTATTGTACAATATTTCATAAGAAATAACAAAAAAATATCGGTTAGTATTGCTAATATGATATCCAATGAAATGGTAGATTTATTTAAAAAAGAAATTAAGGAATATTATTTTGTTATTTTGTTTCTAAGGGTCGACTATATTCCAAATACCAAAATGAGCTTCATAAATTAGTAAAATGTGGATTGGTTGAAAAAAAAACAAAATGGAAAGAAAGAAGCGGCTACTATGTTATTTGGTAATGTATTATAAGAACTTAAAGTTTTTCTACTACATAGGTGCAAAAAAGCTTATAAGAAAAAATAATTAAATAATCTGACCACAGTTGTATAGAACTGCATTACTATTTTGTTAATTTAACATTCAATATGTGTTTTATGTATTTGATCAGCCATTTAAAATTTAACATAAAGTTATTGAATAATTACTGTACTAGTTAAGAAAAGGTATTAATTTTTGATTTTTTTTTAGAAACAAGAAGATTACATAGAAATCGTTCAAAGATTGAGGACCGAAGAAATCGAAACTCTTTGATCCAAAACATCTCAAGGACATTTGAATAAAATAAAGCATCCAAAGGATAATGCTGAATAGCAAAAAACTGGAAGCAAAATGCAAATCCTTCCGGTTATAGATTGGCATGTTATATAGATGGGTAATTTTATTATTCATTACAGCTGTATACTCAGTAAATAGAAGATACTGTCAATGCGAAATATATTTTTAGGTGGAATTCATTAAGGTAATCTTTCAATGGAAAACAGACATAACATTTTAACTGGGTGGGACGACTTCTTTATTAAAGTACAAAAAGTACTAATATATAAAGCGTCAGGTAGACGTGGTCACACTGTTAGCTGTGAAACATACCACTGTTATAGAAACTGAATGTTATACCAGTTACTATTATAACTAGAAATATTTCTACTTTTTGTTATAGCAGTCGTATTTAGGTTAAAATAAAATGGTGAAATTTTTTAAAACTGTCAAACGCATTGCGTTCTCAGATGAAAAAATTATAGAATTAATTGAATTATATCGGGAAAATGAATGTCTTTGGAACATTAAGTCGGCTGAATATAAAAATAATATTAAAAGAAAAGCTGCAATTACTGGTATTGCCAAAAAATTGTGTTACGAAGAGGAAATAATCAAAAAGAAAATAACTTCAATACGATCTACGTACTTGATGGAAAATAAAAGAAAATTTCGGATAGCCACAAAACAGGTTCTGGTACAGATGATCTCTACTCACCGACAGTGCCCATTGTATGAGCATATGACGTTTTTAAACGATGTGATAATTGCCTGCAAAACTATATCTAATTTGGAATCTCAAATAATAGAGGTAAGTGTACTTTTAAATATTTATTTTTTTATTTATATAACATTTATTTTATTTATTTTGTTCCATTTATTATATTCTAGTCCATTGAAAGTCGATATCTCCTTCATTGACAAAATATTCTTCAAACTCTTCTCGTGTCTGTCGAGCAAGATTCGGTGAAAAATGGCTGCCTTTCTGGCTAATATATGGTAATATATCAGGCACTGTTTTATCTGTATTTATTATAGTTTCTGGACGCATAAAATTGTGTAACACACAGCAACATATAATAATAGATTCCTTTGGTTTTTAAGTTAGTGTTTATTGGCCTTCTGAATATTCGAAATCTGCTACAAAGAATACCGAAGGCATTTTCGTGCTCGACATAACCTACAATTAAAAATTTGTTGCTTTATTGATAAATTTGTTGATCTTGGATACCTATAATGCAGTAAGGTATATTTGTCATTCTACCTAGTAAAGGTTCAGGTGCAGGAATATTTAATGCATTACTAACATTAATAGCTTTATATAGTGAGATATTTTTATATATTCCGCCATCAGAAATTCTACCATTTCCTCCATAGTAAACATAAATAAATTTGTAGTTTACATCTACAAGTGCAAGAAGCACAATACTGTGGTAACCTTTATAGTTGTAATAGTAAGACCCTTCATTGGGGGTGCCATAATGCATATGTGCTTGCCATCCAAAGCTCCTATTATATGTGGAAACTGCCATTTTTTTTCGAACTCAAAAGCAATTTTTGTCCATTCTTCCTCAGTACACGGAACCTTATAAAAAGATTTACAAACATTATTATTAGTACAATTATCGTTTTATTTTAGGTCGAAGAAGACTTGCAGTTAAATACACAAAATACAGATATTACAAATATAGCTACACCCTCTCTCTCAGCGTACCACACAAACTGTACCACAAAAAAATCTGCAACAGCCTCATTAGTTGGAACTCCTCGAATACCACAGATTAAAAAAAGAAAAATCGACAATGATGACATGTCTACAGAGAAATCTGTAGATGATGCTATAAAGAAATTAGCAACATTCGGAGATCAAGATGTTTTTGATAATTTTGGTAATCTAGTAGCTTCTCAATTAAAAAGTATTTCAATGGAGGATGCTATAAAATTACAAATGGATATTAGTAACATGGTAAACAAAAGACTGTTAATGATACATCAATCCAAATCTGTTTCGTCTTCTAGACTCTCTCGTCCATCAACTTACAATTATAGTACTAATAGTACAAATTATTCATCTGATGACACCTCACTCAATACGCCATTATATGAATACACAAATGAGTATGACTCAGAAGCCATATCAAATAATATGGTAATATATGAAAATTTAAATCCGTATGACAGAAAAGACGTATCAGACAATGCTGAAACTGGAGATGTAATAAGCATAGCACTTCGAGGAATACTTATTAATTAAAGTATTCATTATTTACATTTTCATTTGTTCTATTTTAGTTTTACTTTTTTTACTTTTACTTTGCATATTTTAAGTTCGATTTCATAAATTAATTGTAATAAAACTTTTATTAAAATTTCAATAATAGTTATAATATTGCTTTATTTAAAATACTTACCTTTAAATACGTATCCTTTAAAACAATGATAATTGCATTACACACCTATGGTACGAAATTTCCTATTGTAATTCGTGATATCCGAGTAAGGAATTGCCACTTGCCAAATATCTTAACGTAACAGCTAGGCGAAGCTTAGAACTTATGGAACTTCTCATACGAGTATCCTGCTTTGCAATTGAAGGTCCAACCTAAAATTTTTTACTTTATTGTTGAAAATGTACAAGAAATATAACATACCTTCTCGTGCAGTTCTAAAATTTTTTCGTAAAGTAAACGAGTAAAATTTTGAAAATCACATTCTACATTTAACATTTCAGTAAATAAATTATTTTCCATGTCAAACTGTGGCCTGTTTAATAAAGGTGTCTTTACCCAGTACCTTCAAGATTTTTCTTTAACATAATTTTTTTCTTGGCTAATAAACAAATAGTTGCAGAATTTAACACTTTTTTATTCGATACCATTTTGAAGCAAGCGATTAAACTCACTTTGTGAATCAGGTGAACAGTAAAACTATCGCAATAGGAGTCACCCCCACCAAACAGTACAATTGTTATAGCACTTAATTGCCATGTAAAACTGCCGCTTAAATTTAAAGAAAATTTTAATATAGAATCCATTTCATCCAAAGGTAAGATGATATACTTATTTTATTTTTTAATATCAATATTACTATAAAACACATTTTGCAGATTGACGAATTGCATATATTTTATGACAATTACATGAATACCTAAAATCTACAGAAAAAAAAATCATTAAGGACCACACAGAAAAAAAAATGTGTCATAAAATATACAATTCGGAACTTTCAAACCTCTTTTTTTTTTGTCGGGCCCAGTATAACTATCATTTTGGCAAAAATAAAAGAAAGCCTAAAGCAGGGCCATCCCATGCAACCATGCATCATTGTGGTGATACCACAGAGAATACAAAATAAAATTTAACCTATTCAGACGGTGTCAAATATAAATTTTTCAGTATACTGAAAGCTTATATATCGCACACCCCGAAGAAAAGTGTAATAACTCAAAAAATTTTAAAAATCAGTTTATTTTACGAATGAGTAGTAAAAACAATAATCTATCTCCGAAGAAAACTGTAACAAAGATAATTCCAATACTTTTGGATAGAGGGCGTGGAGAGCTCTTTTTGTCGGAACACGTTTGGTGTTGGGTTCCGCAGAAAACAGTACTATTAATGGATTGTTACAGGTTAATTCGTATCGCTCTCGTAGAAAAGTGTAACATTTGTAGTTAATACGTTTTCGGTTAAAAGGCTAATAAATATAAGTTTACTTTTTCCCCGGAAAAGTGTAACATTTGTAGTTATATCTCTTTTCTTCGTAATTCATACCTATTTTTGGACTTATTTCCGCGGAAAAGTGTACCATTTTAAATTATTACGGTTTTCCTCGGAACATTTTAGAAAATATAATTGACATTTTAAGTGTTTTTGTACTATTTGTAGTTAAAACAGTTTTCAACGGAAATTTAGTGTACCAGTCGCGATTTGTGTCGGATGAACCTTGTATCATTCGGCGTTGATACGGTTTTCTTCGGATATTACATACGTTTTTTAATAATATTTTTGGTGTTAACGCCGTTAATATTGCATCAAGTTAAGGACATTTTGACGTATTACGATACTAATCCAGTTTTATTGTTTTATTAAAGGAATAAGAAAGTCTTATAAGGTGAGTTTTTTATTGTTTGCAGAATATTATAAAGCCAACTATCAATGTTTCATAAAAGATATCAAACTTTTTGTTTGAAATGTTCGTTATTTTTTGGCTATTCGATAGAAAACAACTATATATTTTAAAAAAATTTTAACTGTCTAATTCTATTATGTTATGTTTATTTTTTATATCGGCACATGCTTTTGTTACAGCTAATATCATGTCAAGAGGTAAATTAATGGTGCAAGCGGTTCTTAAAGTTGACAATAAGGAAGAAGAGGTTGACAGGACTCTTAATACCCCTGAACCAAATCAAACCATTAACAAGGGTACTGAGAATGTTTGTAACTGTACATTAACTTCCAAGGAGAATAAACCAGCCGAAGACCATCCCAAAATAAGCGATCTTTTTTATCCTTCAGAAAATGAAGCTGGAAATAGCAGTGAAGCTGTAAATAGCAATTATTCTGATCAAACAAAAGAAAATGAGGTTCTTGATAATAAAGTGTATTTTAGCGAGGACGAAGATGATACTGTTAAAGATCCTGATTACGACTCAAGTTCATCTTCGTCCTCAGACTCTACATCAGGGATGGGGAAACTACGGCCCGCGGGCCATCTCCGGCCCGCGAAGCGTTGAAATCCGGCCCGTGACTGTCGTGAACATTAAACAAAAAATCAAGTGAATTTTTCATATTGTAGAAATTTCATATTTCATTCTTATTGACAGAGCACGTCTCGCATAAAACAATCACGTGTATTATTTCACGAGCACGGGCGGTAAACGAAAACCGAAAATGAAGCTATCGACTGGGCGCGCGCGGTCCGACCGCCGCCGCAGTCAAAGTTTTGTCTTACTTCAAATCGCATGTTCGTACGCCGTATTTTCTTACTTACGAAACTACAACAATCAGCTAACAGACGGTGACATTTTTAAATCAGCAAGGTAAGATGTTATCACGTACTTTGTCATCACTTTTTGTGTCTTGAAATGATTTGATTATAAAATATGTTTGGGCGATGTATTGATGTTGGCTTTATTGTTTTGTTACGGCAGCAAAATGACGACCAAAAAACGAAAAGTCGATTCTGAGTGTCGAGTTTTTAAAGAAGAATGGTCATGGAAATATTTCTTCACAGAATTTAAAGACAAACCAGTTTGCCTCATTTGTAATGAAACAGTTGCAGTTTTTAAAGATTTTAATTTGTCTCGACACTTCTCAAAAAAACATGCAAGTGCAAAATATTTATCTATGACGGAAGCAGAGAAAAAGTCTTTTGTTGAAAGGCAAAAAGAGAAGTTACGTGGACAGCAGAACATGTTCACAAAGCAATCTGTTACTCAGAAGGCTGCAACACTGGCAAGTTATGTTGTAGCTTACAAAATTGCTAAAAGTAACAGAACATTATCGGATGGTGAATTTGTAAAAGATTGCATGGTGGCTGTAAGCAACATTATTTGTCCAGAAAAAAGTAAAGAGTTTCAATCTTTAGCTTTATCACGGAGAACGATAACTGATCGAATTGACGCCATCGCTAAACAATTATCGTTACAGCTAGAAATGAATTGTAACAAATTTGAATACTTTTCTCTAACCATGGATGAGAGCACAGACATGAACGATACTGCCCAATTGCTGATTTTTATTAGAGCAATTGATTCAGAGTTCAACATAACCGAAGAATTAGCATGCTTACAATCCTTGAAAGGAAAAACAACTGGAAAAATTATTTACGATTCTTGTTTTGAGGGTATTTCAAAGTTTAACTTGCCTATGGATAAATTATGTAACATAACCACGGATGGAGCACCCAATATGGTGGGAAGCCATTTGGGGTTTATGGGTATATTTTGCAAAGAAAATCCTAATAATAATGTATTATTTCTGCATTGTTTAATACACCAGGATGTGTTGTGTAAAGCAGCTATTGACATACAACCCGTTTTGAGTGTGGTTGTTAAACTTATCAACACAATACGTTCACGGGGTTTGATGCATCGACAATTCCAAGAATTTCTAAAATCCACCGAAAGCGAGTTCTCTGATATCCTTTACCATACTAAAGTGAGATGGTTAAGCTGTGGTAATGCATTTGAGAGAGTGTGGAACTTAAGAAAGGAGATTTAAGACTTTCTGACGGAGCAAGGTAAATGGGACGACTTTAAGATCATGGCTGACGAAAATTGGCTTCCTGATTTCGCATTTTTCACAGATTTGCTGTCACACCTAAATAAATTAAATACGAAGCTTCAGGGAAAGAATCAATTCTTAGATGAGCTTTGGGGACATTTAAAAGCCTTCAAATTGCAGCTTAAATTGTTTTGCAGTTGTGTAGAGAAAAATGAACTTACCCATTTTCCCAAACTGAGCAGCGTATCACCTGTCTCAGACGACAAGTTAAATAGGTTCGCTCAACAACTGAAGAAACTGCACGAGGAATTTGAGAAGCGATTTCAAGATTTTAAGAGAATTGAGCAGTCACTAAATATTTTTTCGATGCCTTTTAATGTTAACGTTGATGAAACACCCGCTAACCTCCAACTTGAACTAATTGAGATGCAATGCAATACCCATCTGAAGCAACTATTTCTCAACACCAACAAATTGGAATTTTATAAGTCCATATCTAGGACACAATACCCAAATATAGTTGCCCACGCTCAAAAAATAATGGCTATGTTTGGTACAAGCTATTTGTGCGAACAAACGTTTTCAATAATGAAACTAAGAAAAAATTGTCTTCGTAATAGGCTTTCGGATGACCACCTTTTTTCACTGTTAAAAATTTCAGCATCACAAATGGAGCCGGCTTATGATGACATCATGCAGAAACAAAAACAGTTCCACATGTCACATGTCCCTACAAAGACCAGCGCTCCTCATCCTTCTACTTCGCAGACAACTTAAAAGTTTAATTTAATTGCAATTTCTTTCTTGTATTAATATTTTGTAATTTTGCACAATAAATTAGTGTTTCAGAAAATACATATCATAATTTTTATTTCAATAAATAATATAGCCAAAAAATCAACAACTTGGCCCGCCATATATTTCGTTAGTAAATATTGGCACGCGGAGGAAAAAGTTTCCCCATCCCTGCTCTACATCTTCATCAGACTCATCTTCTTCATCGTCTAGTTCTCCAAGATCCAGCAAT